TATATATATATATATATATATTACCCGTAAATTTATATGAGGGTGATTTTATTGGTAAACTTTCTCAATTTCTACTTTTTAATTTACAGAATATCTTTATGCAGGCGTCTTCCATCAATGATTTAAATGTATGGTGTGTTGAAAAGTTGAAAGTGATGATGGAATTTAATCACGAAACGTTTGAATTAGCCAGGGCTAGCCATGTTTAATTAAATACTGCACACGTGTGCTTCTAGATGAAGCATGCTACTTATATATATATATGATAAGAAAATAATTAATGTTATCTCGGTAGAAAAAAAGTTGACAAATGCCAAACTTGAAAAAGAAAGGAAGGAAATTTAGTTGATATTAGGAAAAGAATTTTGTCTGCACGTATTAGTATAATATATTTTATATTAAGTTTGATAAACTTTGAATTAAGATTAAATGTTGTTTATAAATAAGAGATATTATTTTAATATAGATCTACTTATTTTAAATTTGGAAGTTGTTTATAAATTAAAGAAAATTGTTTATATAAATTATTTTTTTTAATTTAAGTAACTCGTGTCGCCTATATGATTTTTTTTTTAAATATTGTTTTATAATTATGAGTATGTTTATGAAATGATTGTTTTAAAATTAACAAATAATAATTAATTAAGAAAGTATAGTGTAGGGTTGAGTAGGAAGATTTGGTAAGAGATTGGTTCTATGATTTCCGTACAAGTCAGAGTCTTTTAACACTTTGGTTGTTATTTGTCAAATAAAACAATTCTTAAAAGCACTGTCATATATATCTTGGGAAATTCCGAAGCTAGCAAATTGTGGTGAAACAAACATCACGTGGAAGTGAAGGACTGTGTTCTCTGCATAATTAAGGAGGAACAGAACAGAAAAGGAAAGTGCCAGCTTCGATTCAATGCAACTGTTTGAACTCTGAACTCTGAATCTGCAGATTGTAACTGTCAAATGAAATCAGAATGCCAAGCTGTGCCGTCAAAGGAGGTTGCCCCACTGACTATATAGCCATTGCTCTATCCATTCTTTCCTTCACTGTGTAAGTTTCTCCCTTTGCCCCTATCCGTGTGTAACGGGTCGTTCTTGTTGTGCCAAATTTCCTACTTTACCTGCTTGATCTTATGACCCTAAGAATTTTGAGCTTGACTGACAAGTTAAAATCTTGTACCTAGTCATATACCCTTTTAGTTTCCCTCCATCCCTATGAAGCAAAATAGTTTCTTTCCCCCTACCTGATCTGCTTACTGATTAAGGGTGTTTCCTTGGTGGGGCTCTCTCTTTGATGATTCATAAGATTCCTGTGTTGGGTGATTTGGTTTGTTCTTTTGGGTCATCTTTATGGTATCATTTGTTTCGAAATGAGATATACGTTTAGACTATAACTACTTTTATGATATAAAAAATTTCATAAAATTAGTTTATGCACAAACTTATGTTAGAGATTATTGTGAAAATCATTTTACTTTTTGAAAGGTTACGAGGAATTTTATCTAAACAGATCATATGTGACATTTGTTTTCTGATGCATTTGCTGTTGGTTGGCTTCTATTCTTCAGGCTTGTTTTATGGTGCATAGTTCCCTTCATAGTTCACAAGGTTCCTCGTACCAAAGGCAGTGGCTTCTGGATACCTGTAATTCAAGTTGTTGCCAGCTTCTTCCTTCTTCTATCTCTCGTGGTAGAAATGGGTTTTTTATGTCTCTGTCATTTATTTTCTGTTAAATTAAACAATCCCAACTCGTCTAGTAGTTTGGTGTTGCTGCAGTATCAACTCAGCATCGCCTTGTTCTCAAGCTTACTGATTGTATATTTGTTTTTTATGCAGATATCGAATAATTTTTTGAAACTTGGGGAGAGGCATTGGTTGCGGTCATGCTACTTATGGGGAGGTTATCTTTCTTTTTGCCATCTTTTCTGACTTGTTTATGCTTATGTATTGAAAAGAGGAACACTTGTAAGTATAATCATGTTTTTCCTGTTTATTTTCAGCCTGGGGTGAAGGTCCACTAGGATTTGGTTTGCTCTTCAGCTGTCGCATAACACAGGCTTCGCAATTATATTTTATCTTTGTCAAGTAAGTAACATCTTAATATTGGTTTTTAAGGCCGCTTTGTCGGAAGTTTCTGATTGACTACCTCTTAACCGTTAAAGCCAAAGTGATGGCTTTAGGGTACGTTTGGATTAAACAACTTAATTAAGTGCTTATTGGATAACTATTTGTCTTGTAAACTCTTGTGTATACTTTTTTTGGGTAATCAGAATAGGAAATATGATTAAAGTCTTTTTATATAAATTATAAGCTGTTTTTCATGAATGGTCATAGAGGTTGGAGGGCTTATTTAAATAAACTCAACAACTTGTGGAAAAATCGTCAGCTGAGGACTTGTTTAGACAAATTTTTCCTAAAACACTTCTAGGAGGAGAAATTAGTTTCTTCATAAACTAAGATTAGTTTATTCATAAGTCAATTTTGTTGAAGTTTTCCCACATTAGTTCCTGTAGAAGATCATTTTAAACTATTCATACACTAATTTTAATTTGTGGAGAAGTTTTTCGTAATTTTTTCTCTCAAAAGTACTTTTGGAGAAATTTATTTAAATAGACTCTATGTCAATAAGCCTGTTAAACACTTACACAAGTTCTTATGCATAATAAGTTCTACCAATAGCACCCTAAAGTTCATGATCCACAGCTGAAAGTAATTATTGTGTATTTTCCACAACCACAACACATAACAACCAACCTGTTGAATTTATGATCATAACATTCTGTTTGTCTGATTGGTTTTCACTGGTGAAACTATTATTCACTTGAGCTCATGGAGGCTTGTGATTTTTAACTGATGCGGTTATTTGTACTCATGATTGGCCATAATTAATTGGCACTTTGCCTATACTTTGAGATGCTATAAGTTTTTGTTGTTGATACTTCTTTTTTTGTTTCACTGCAATTTTTAACTGGTGCTAAAGGAGTCATCATTCATTTAGGACTTGGGTGTTTAATTTCCTCCTTTATTGATCTTTCAGGAGACGTTTACCACTGATACGATCATATATTTTTCTTCCACTAATTCTACTTCCCTGGATTGCCTGTGCTGCTGGTATAAATCTGAATTAATTTTAATTTTCTTATCTAGTCTTTATTTAGTGGAATTAACAACTCGAAGTATATGTAGCAGGTGTAATTTTTTCACTTTCATCCATAGAATTTCATTTTTTTTTATCTCCTATCTAGTATATCAAAATTTTGCTGGACTATGTCTCTTCAGTTGACATAGTTATTTTATTTTAAGTGTTTCTGCTTTATGTCCATGATTTTCTCAACATCTTGTGGAATTTATGGAAGTTATTGCCAGAACACACTCCCTTTTCTTTCCTTAATCATGTCTCATTTGTTTATGTTCTTTCCCCTATTTATTTCTAATAAATTATTCATCCATTCTCTAGTTATCCATTGGATGCAGCCTCTAAGCAGTCGCTGTCACATGAGAGCTCAATGGACCATCCCAGTTATAACCCTTCACTCATTGTAAATTGCTATTTTGGTTGGGGTTACAACTGCTGTTCATCACATAGAATTCAGGTTTGATGAACTCAAAGACCTCTGGCGGGGAATACTCGTATCAACTGTGTCCATTGGTACACCTTTTTCTAGATTCATTAAAAACTCCTTATTTCTCTATTTATTTTGAAGTTCCTAGCTTCTTAGTAACCTGTTCTCTAAGGCTGTTACTAAGGTGATGAATTAACCCTTAAGTTCTTAGTTAGGTTTTCTGTTTTCAGGAAAAAAAAGCATTTCCTACCTAAATCTAAATGTGTAACATCCAAGTTAAAAGTCTGATACCATAATCAATGTTAACTCCGAAATACATATTTGCAAATGTTACAGATATCGCATATTCTTTGACTATTGTGCTCAGACAACTAGTTTTGCAGAAGCTTTACCCTAAATATAATATTTACTCCAAAGACAACATTTTTCACATATTTACTCCAAAGACAACATTTTTTACTTTCTGAAAAGAGAGTCCATGCTTTATAGTCTCTTAATTAACCACAATTTTCTTAACCATGGTTTTCTAATACAAAACCACCACATTCATTTTGCATTGCCCGGCACTATATCCACTTGTTTATTTTCAAACTAGTGTTATCAAATATGAGATTGTACTTTCAGGATAGCCTTTCTCGGTGCTCTTTATAATCTATCATTTGCTTATTTATCATGACAGTTATTTGGATTACTGCTTACATACTTAATGAAGTTTATGACAATATCTCATGGCTTGAAGTTGCGTCTAGATTTCTGCTTTTAGTTGTGGTATGCTTTCCTACCGTTTCTTATGTCTCAATAATATGAAATCTCAGACATTTTCAATACATATTGGAAGTTAAATCCAAGTGATTACTTCGTCAATCTTTTATTTACTTCCATTCTATGTGGGTTTTGTTCAAAGGCTAGCATACTTGTGGTTGCTTTCTTTTCAATATCAAGTTCTCAACCACTTCTCTCACAAATCAGCTTGAGGAGAAGAGAAACCCGAGAATTTCGCACAATGAGCCAGGCTCTGGGCATACCTGATAGTGGGGTATTAGCACAAAGTGAACCAATTTCAAGGATAGATCCTAATGAGCCGTTGGATAAGCTTCTCTTGAATAAGAGATTCCGGCAGTCTTTTATGGCATTTGCTGATAGGTAAAACATCTATCTTTGTACTCCAGTATGTTGGTACATATTTGTACGAATTATAGTTTCTCATTTTTGTCTTTGTTTAAACTAAAAAAGTATTATTGTTTTCACATATATACAGTTGCTTGGCTGGGGAGAGTGTGCACTTCTTTGATGAAGTGTATGAGCTTAGTAAAATACCTGAAGATGACTGTGTGAGAAGGATCTATATGGCACGACATATTATTCAGAAATACATAGTTGCAGGTGTGTAATTTCTATTCCAAGTGGCTTCCTTCTTTCATCCTTTCTCTTGGTTATTTCCACCATGATCATTTTTTGCCATATTCAGAATTGTAAGATCAGTTTTCTCTCAACCCTTTTGTGAATACTGTTATTTGATTTAACACAGTCGTATGTCTCGTCCATGGAATGAGTTGAATGTTTTGTAATTGTTCCTTTAAATATGGGAGCATTCTCTTATATTTGCTAGAATATAATTTTACAGGTGCGGCTATGGAGGTGAATATCTCTCATAGAAGCAAACAAGAAATTTTATCTACTTCCAACCTAGCGCGCCCTGATCTCTTCCAAAATGCACTCAACGAGATCATTCAGTTGATGAGAACAGTAAGTTCCTTAGGCTCAATACAATTTTAGGAGACACCCTTGATTAAAATTGAGTATGTTATATCCTCAAATTCATACTCGGTTCTTTCTATAAGAAACAAATGATAGTGCATTGCTTGTTATAAAAAGGACCGAAGATAGAATCTAGACAACATTGAAAACATTGTTATGCCAGTGTCTAAATTTGTCCATTAAAATTAGGCAAGCCATTGCTGCATAGTCTTTCATCTAAATTAAACATTCCACTTGTGCAGAACCTAGCCCGAGATTACTGGTCATCGATGTTCTTCCTGAAGTTCCAAGAAGACTCCAATTTGAGATCCAATGAGTATGAGCTGGAACAAATGACAGGGTGGAACTTTTCCCCAAGGTTGAGTTCTGTGCATGGTGCAGATGATCCTTTTCACCAGGACCATCTCCTCAAGAGCTCAGGCTGTAGCAGTGATACTACTGACTTATGACTTGTTAGTTTTTACCTCTTATTTACACAATTTCTCTAGTTTGGTAATACCTTGCCTAACTAGCTTCACTTTTACAACAAAAAAAAAAAAAAAAAAAAGAAAAATTTTTTAAAAAAAAAATTAAAATAAATAAACAAAAAAAAAAAAAAAAGAAGAAAAAAGGGGAAGAAAAAAGAAAAAAAAAAAAAAATTTTTAAAATTTTACATTTTTTTATTTTCAATCTATAAAACATGAGTAACATCCATAGAGTTAGGCTAGGACCTTGTACCTCCTGGCGTGTAGCTTGTATTATACTGATTTCATTTCAAAACTGAATAGTCTTCACATTGTCTAGCACTTTTAAAGAGTACAAGGTACATGAAAGAGATCAAAATGTTGTATGCAGCTTACAGCAACCACCTTGATTGTATATGTCTTTCATTCGATAATTACTTGTATTGATTGCCCTCTTAGTCTCATTGTAACAACAGTATTGTGAAAGAAAGATGTTAATTACATATATCTAACCCATGACCTATCATTTTAGTTACTGTTAGAAGTGGTTTTGCATTATTTGTTATCAAGTTTAGCACTTGTCTAGAGTGATGGATATTTGTTATTTTAGTCTGACAGAAATGAACCGAGTTGATAGCTTGTTGCGTTCTGTTTTTGTATCTATTTTTTTGATATATCGACATCAATATATTTATATAAACTCAACAGAAAAATAATACAAAAAAAAAAAACTCAAGAACAAAAATCTGAACATTTTGAAAAATATCAATCACATCATTGATAGACAACCCACTTTATCCAATCGAGCACACACGCCTGTTCCACAACTTGTCAATCTTAAAGTACGAAAACAAAATGAAAGAAGTTGTCTTATCTACGGTTTATGTAACAAAGGGGTCAATTTTATTTTTTAAATTACGTATCTGATTTACTTTTTAAATTTATTATGGCTTCGGGTTAAGTAGTATATGGTTGACGATTTCATTGAAAAAGTGGTGAACGGTACAAACAATTTGTTAATAATATTGAAATCGAGTTTGATTTTGATGGCCTTTGATCACATATTAAACTTAATTATTCAGATCTTAAGTTTTAAGTAAAGTTGTATATGTGATTGGTGATTTCAATTTTAATATATTTGAATTGAAGTTGTGCATCATATAATTAATTGAAACCTTGAGAGGTTAGAAAGATAGTTATAGAGTTTAATTAAGTGTACAGAGAACTCATATAACTTGACAAAACATCTGGAAAGTTCAACTAAGTACATAAATAACTCAAATAGTTCAACAAGACATATAGAGAGGTCGGTAAAGATACACTTTAACTAGCTCTTCAAATGTTTTGCAAAACTATCTAGTGCACTTTATCGAGCTCTCTAGACGACTTGTTGAACTATTTGAATTTTCTATATACTTGGTTAAATTATTTGAATGTTTTGTTGAACTATTTGAGCTCTCAATACACTTATTAAAACTTTCTGAATATCTTATAAATCTTTTTATGCTTTAGTTAATTATATATATACGATTTTAGATAACTATATATATATATATATATATATATATATAT